GTAGTGATATGAGGGAGTGGATATCATGTCTTTTTTCGGCTAGCTTATGTTCGTGGATACGAAGACGAAGGGGACGTCCACTTTGGCCAATGTAGTGTTTTTCGCAGTTAATACAATCTATTTTGTAGATGATGTTGGTTTTATCTTCCTTCGCTGTTGAGTCTTTTGGTTGACATAGAATTGAGTGAAGTGACTTTGTTGGTTTGTGTACGACGTCAATTCCTAAAGGTTTGAAGAGTCTTGTAGTGATTTCTGAGATGTCCTTTATATATGGTAAGGCGATTTTCTTTGTGCTTTCCTTGGGGGCTTTTGGTTTGATAGGTTGGCTTGGGGGTATATGTCTTTTGATGAAATTCCGTGGATATCCATTCTTTTGGAAGACGTCCATGAGATATTTTTCTTCAATTTTCCTTGAGGTGGGAGTGCTGCAATGAGTCCTGGCTCTCTTGAATAGTGTTTGTATGCAATTCCTCTTGTGTGCTATTGGATTGTTGCTGTTGTAATTCAGGATTTGGTCTGTGTGAGTTGATTTTCTATAGACTTGAGTTTCTAATTCCCCTGTGGTTGTTCGCTTGACTAAGACGTCTAAAAATGGAATTTGGTTCTCTGATTCCTCTTCTCTTGTGAATTTGATGTCGTTGAAGACGTTGTTTATCAGGTTGTGAGCTTTATCTAACTCGTTTCTTTTGATAATTACAAATGTGTCGTCTACGTAGCGTATCCAAATCTTGGGTTTGATCTTTGGTAGAATTATGTTTTCGAGCCTTTGCATCACTGCTTCTGCAATTAAACCTGATATTGGCGATCCCATAGGTGTTCCTTTGACTTGTTCATATATTTGGCCGTTGAATTGGAAGTACGTTGTTAGGCATAGGTTTATGCATTCCATCCAGCTTGTGTGTTGCATTTTTGATTGTTGTGGAAGGTGTTCGTCGTTGCTAAGTAATTGCTCCATGGTTTCTTTTGCTAGTTTTTGTCCGATTGAGGTATACAATGCTGTGACGTCGAAGGATATCATTATCTCTTGTTCATCTATTTGGATGCCTCTGATTTTCTCTAGAAATTGGATAGCGGAGTTGATGGAGTGATCACAAGATTCCGTTAGGTGTTTTAGTTTTCTGTATAATTCTTTGGATAAATTATATGTTGGAGTTCCTGGGAGTGATACAATTGGTCGTAACGGGATATTTGGCTTGTGTATTTTGGGTCTGCCGTAGAATCGGGGTAGGACTGGTCCACTGAATTTCATTCGCCATTGGTCTTGTTTTGTGATTTGTCCAGTTTTGGTAAGCTTGTTTAAGGTCCTTTGGATGCGGTTGTCCAATGTTTGTATGGGATTTGTTGGGAGTTGTTGATACACATCCTCGTCTTTGAGTAGTTCTTCAGCTTTCTTGGTGTATTCTTCTCTGTCCATGACTACTGTTGTTCTTCCTTTGTCGGCTGGTAGAATGACGATGTCCTTCCTATTTTTCAGCTTTTTGAGGGCCTTTAGTTCTTGAGAGTTGAGCTGTGTGTGTTGTTTTTTCTGTTTGACCATTGGTACCATTGCTTGGTGTATCTTTTCCTGTGTTTCCTCGTTCACGTTTGACGATTTGAGTAATGATTCAAGGGCAGCGAAGAAATCAGTTTTCGAAGCATCTCTAGTGTTGTAGTGTAATCCTTTTTGTAGTAGTTGTTGCCGCATTTTTGATAGTGATTGTTTTGATAGGTTGACTACGCAGTCTATAGGTGTCTTGTCTGGTTGTTATTTTCTACTCTTAGCTAGCTTGGTTTTGAGGACTCTACGTCTTTGTTCTCTGTGTTTTTTCTACTTGACTATGTAACTGCGTAATCAATCTATCAAAACAACCACTATCAAAAATGCGGCAACAACTACTACAAAAAGGATTACACTACAACACTAGAGATGCTTCGAAAACTGATTTCTTCGCTGCCCTTGAATCATTACTCAAATCGTCAAACGTGAACGAGGAAACACAGGAAAAGATACACCAAACAATGGTACCAATGGTCAAACAGAAAAAACAACACACACAGCTCAACTCTCAAGAACTAAAGGCCCTCAAAAAGCTGAAAAATAGGAAGGACATCGTCATTCTACCAGCCGACAAAGGAAGAACAACAGTAGTCATGGACAGAGAAGAATACACCAAGAAAGCTGAAGAACTACTCAAAGACAAGGATGTGTATCAACAACTCCCAACAAATCCCATACAAACACTGGACAACCGCATCCAAAGGACCTTAAACAAGCTTACCAAAACTGGACAAATCACAAAACAAGACCAATGGCGAATGAAATCCAGTGGACCAGTCCTACCCCGATTCTACGGCAGACCCAAAATACACAAGCCAAATATCCCGTTACGACCAATTGTATCACTCCCAGGAACTCGAACATATAATTTATCCAAAGAATTATACAGAAAACTAAAACACCTAACGGAATCTTGTGATCACTCCATCAACTTCGCTATCCAATTCCTAGAGAAAATCAGAGGCATCCAAATAGATGAACAAGAGATAATGATATCCTTCGACGTCACAGCATTGTATACCTCAATCGAACAAAACCTAGCAAAAGAAACCATGGAGCAATTACTTAGCAACGACGAACACCTTCCACAACAATCAAAAATGCAACACACAAGCTGGATGGAATGCATAAATCTATACCTAACAACGTACTTCCAATTCAACGGCCAAATATATGAACAAGTCAAAGGAACACCTATGGGATCGCCAATATCAGGTTTAATTGCAGAAGCAGTGATGCAAAGGCTCGAAAACATAATTCTACCAAAGATCAAACCCAAGATTTGGATACGCTACGTAGACGACACATTTGTAATTATCAAAAGAAACGAGTTAGATAAAGCTCACAACCTGATAAACAACGTCTTCAACGACATCAAATTCACAAGAGAAGAGGAATCAGAGAACCAAATTCCATTTTTAGACGTCTTAGTCAAGCGAACAACCACAGGGGAATTAGAAACTCAAGTCTATAGAAAATCAACTCACACAGACCAAATCCTGAATTACAACAGCAACAGTCTAATAGCACACAAGGGGAATTGCATACAAACACTATTCAAGAGAGCCAGGACTCATTGCAGCACTCCCACCTCAAGGAAAATTGAAGAAAAATATCTCATGGACGTCTTCCAAAAGAATGGATATCCACGGAATTTCATCAAAAGACATATACCCCCAAGTCAACCTATCAAACCAAAAGCCCCCAAGGAAAGCACAAAGAAAATCGCCTTACCATATATAAAGGACATCTCAGAAATCACTACAAGACTCTTCAAACCTTTAGGAATTGACGTCGTACACAAACCAACAAAGTCACTTCACTCAATTCTATGTCAACCAAAAGACTCAACAGCGAAAGAAGATAAAACCAACATCATCTACAAAATAGATTGTATTAACTGCGAAAAACACTACATTGGCCAAAGTGGACGTCCCCTTCGTCTTCGTATCCACGAACGTAAGCTAGCCGAAAAAAGACATGATATCCACTCCCTCATGTCACTACATACAGACAACCACGGACATCAATTCGACTGGGACAACGTTCAAATATTATACAGAGGAAACAACAAGAATGCTAGAGAACTTTTAGAAGCTTGGCATTCCAGTGAATCATCAATCAATAGACACATCGAGATAGACAAAATTTATCAACCGATAAGAAAGAAACCTCACACACAAAGGGTCAAAGTTCAAGTCAAAGAAACAATGAATTACAATACAAATAACCTAGGTGTGAGAACACACAAAAACAACCAATCAAACCCAAGGTCACCAGGAGAGATGATTAATAAACCCGTGGAGAAATCTGAAAGTTCACTTCAAATTGAAGTATGCGCTGAAGATGTCGCCTAGCAGGGCGATGAGAACTTCGCAAACTAACTGTCCAGCTCAGAGAACACAACCACACCAAAATCATCCACCTGAGCTACAAATCTTCTCTATCATATGTGATTGTTAATTTCTTTGACTTGAACTTTGACCCTTTGTGTGTGAGTTTTCTTTCTTATCGTTTGATAAATTTTGTCTATCTCGATGTGTCTATTGATTGATGATTCACTGGAATGCCAAGCTTCTAAAAGTTCTCTAGCATTCTTGTTGTTTCCTCTGTATAATATTTGAACGTTGTCCCAGTCGAATTGATGTCCGTGGTTGTCTGTATGTAGTGACATGAGGGAGTGTATATTTTCGGTTAGCTTATGTTCGTGGATACGAAGACGGAGGGGACGTCCACTTTGGAGCCACTGACGAACAAAGTGGAAGTAATGAATTTGAATTTCGTGCCTATAGGTGGATCTAGCTTTCTGTTTGGCCTTAACAGTTATTATAAGCGAAATTTACTTCGTTTTTTTTCATCAATTTAGCACCTCCGGTAATAATTTTACCCTCTGTAATAAAAGAGTACTTTAACTGAAGTTTGCAATGTAGCCACCATTCTAGGCGGTTTGTCATGACTAACTGAAAGAATTCAGTCCGCACCAAACGAATGGCTAAACATATTACACTAGTTACTAACAAGTATTCAATCCAAGTATTCAAAACAGTCCTACTAGAAGTCAATCTCGAGTCCGAATAGCTCAGTGGTAACGTCTCTGACAGGTTTGTCAGTGGCACAGCGGTTAGGACGGTCGCCAACTATGCACATGGTCCGGGGTTTGACCCCCGTCCGACGCACTCCTTAACCTCGTCAAGCCAGTAATAAAGCTGGTAAAGAGGAAAGGTGAGTAGCATTCACTGGGTGACGCGGGTTCGAATCTCACAAGGGACATGAGTTCCTTCAAGGTTGCAGACACGCCTTGCTGACTGGTGAGTGCCAAGTCGCACGAAGACTAGGTCCAAGGTATCCTTCCGATTGCCTCCAACCATCCAATACCAGTAATTGAATTTAGTTGGAAAGTTAGGTCGTTATTGCACACATTTTTAATTTAATTAAAATACGCCATTTTTACTATTTCTTTTAGGGCGAAATACATGCGAGTTCCATTTCAAGCTATCCATGTCAGCTGGGCTCATGCATTCCCCGTATATTCAGATATTCCTGATTTACATTTGCTTAGAACATTCTTCAATAGTGGTCGTGTTCATGCATTCGCAGTACGTATGGAAACCTGTTGTCGAGCCTCTGTAGCATTTGGTGAACCGTATTCGCAGCCGTATTCATCTCATGGATTTTTGGACATTCTAGCCAATGCTTGCAGCAGTGGATTATATATGGCCGTTCCACTACTTATTTATCCTAGAAGGCAATGTTGGCTAAATAATTCATCAATACCTTATTATCCTTTTACGTACAGTTACATTGATTACCAATCCCTAGTCTCTTTTGCCATCGAAGATGATGAGGCTTATGCCAGCAGTAATCAGTTACCTTCATATCATCAAGATATTAGCGAAAACCATTCAAGTTCAGTAAAAAACCAAAAGACAGATCAAAACAGATTCAATGACAATTCCCGTTCTCATTCAAACGGTCCCCGTTGGGGTCATAAAAATAATACCACATCGTCAAAATACAATAGTCGCCGACAAAACACATCTGGATCGAACCATATACAAAAGGATTCTGTCTTAACTGTCTCTCAGAAAGAAAATCAGTGTACTTCAGAGGTAAAAGAAAATACAAATGCGACTAAACCAACATCTGAGAGAAATGACCACTTACATAAAAACCAACCACGAAAACCGTTGTCAAATCGTAATAATGGTGTGAATGGTTCGGGTTGCAGTAAAGCAGTTTCATCTAATCACGATAGAGTGACAACAACAAACAGTCCTGATGAGTGAAGGTGATTGTGTTGTTATTATTCCAATTCCCTGTCTAGTAAATCTGTTGTATTTTCCCGTAAAGCTTTTTGCAATTTCTTTTTTTTAATTTCATCAATTATTTTTTGTACATTTTTTTCAATATGTGCCTTATGTCTTTTAAACATTTGTTTACCCAACAATTTTAAGGTTTGTCCATTTTATGGTCCTCACGTATTCACATTTCTCCCACTGCTAACTAAATATTTGCTTACTTGGTTTGGTTAATATGATTTAATCTACTCATTTTTTTCATGTCTTTGAGTTCCTAGCATTTTTCTATTTATTGGTATATTTATTAACTATGCTTTCTCATTATGTGGATTTTAATTATGACAAAGGTGTATTTTGACAATACTTTCACATTTTCAAATGTGATGTGCTGAAAAATACCTTGTTTTATTCAATATTATTCATTGAGTACCACAATTTCATGTGGGTATACTAATAAAAAATTTTATCTCAGAATTACGTCATCCGTTGCTCCTCTGGTTTATTTAAAATTGATCACTCGATTGTTTTCGATTTCGAAAGGTTCAGTAGTGTCTACTAAAGCTTTTGAAAAATAGTAACGCTGTATTCCCCATATTCTTCACTTCATCATGTGGGTTTATGGAATCATTCAAAGAGTCGAAAACCGCAATTATTTGGGGATTGTAATGTTATGCATTTTTCACTTCATCAACGAGTATGATTCAAGTGGAAGAATAGACATTTTCCCACTGTAGTTTCAATTATTTTATTAAACATACAATGTCATACACATGTTTCATCAGATTGGAATGAATAGGTAAAAGGCAAAGGAAATTGTTATGGAACATTCGTTAATAAGTGATCATTCAATCATCGACACCATATTAATGGTATGATGACTGCTCAACCGTTTTGAAAAATGAATGGAAGACCACTGAAGGAGTGGGGGATGAATTTCATGCTGCCTTTTTCTCCAACCATACACGAGCAAACTGTTCTGAGGCATGTCATTCTGTGAACAGTCGGCTAGAAAATTAAATCAAGCACCTACGATCGAAAGTAGGTATATTTAAAAAAAACACATCGACCTACGAAGTTTCAAAGTAGTCGTGCAACGTAAATAATTCAATCTTTCAGACAGTTGTTCAGATGAAGCTGCAATACACTCAGCAGTTTTACCTCCAGGTAAAGTGATGTCATACTCAAGCCAATACTTGAATGAATGATTCGATGACTCCTGATGTAATTTTTGTGAATCTAAGGCAAGAACCTGCAAGCGGCAGAAAAAAGAAACAAGCCCAGCGTACACAACAACAGAAAGTAATGACGTACAACATAAGAAATGTCACCTACGGCTGCAATAATATCCAAATCGATAGGTTTATGCCAAATAAATTATGCCTTCATCCGAATCCATTGATATTATTCATGTGTTTATGACAGTCTAGAATTATGGCAAATGTATTTTAAAGAATATTTCCTTGAAGAAATCCACAGAGACCACTGGAATATCGTCTCACATCCTGCACGCGAGTGTCAGGAAGTAATCTTGAGTGAAAACGGTTTCATCTTGCATAGCAAGGTATTAAGTCTTTCGAAGCATCTTTATCACATGCCGTATATCATACGGTGGAGTACTGTCGACATGTCCTCTAACAGTATTGTTTGAATTAACTGTTGAATATGACTCAGTATGCTTGAAGGAAACCTATACTTCATATCCAGGTGCAGGTTGGAAAAGAGTAAGTGGTGGCCAAACAAAAACATGGCATCAATCCATGAAATCCCTGACAGTTAAACTGAGTCAGGTAGGGAGATGCAGACTTCCGGGTTGGGGCCCTCGGGACTCTAAGAATCAATGGCTGGAGACAACAGGTGACATGGCTCAAAATCGTTGTCAATGGCTTACGCAGATGTATTCAGTCTCTGTAATCTTTCATATTCCTTTCTACCATTACTCATTCTGTTTCACCCTTATACTTGTCAAAACTCTATTGATTCTCTTCACTCATTTCTTGTCTAGCTTTGTGTGCTATTTGGAACGTGGCAACTCGAATTGTTGCACTTCGCTGCCAAGTTCTATGTTGAATCCAGACAAACATACTTCATATCCACTCTCCGTAAAGAAAACTTTACTCATTACTATCGTATATTGTTTAGGATAACATGTTGTGAGCTCTCATTTTTGTATGTTGTACAAGTAAAGAATACATTAGTTCCCTTATTCCCACTTTTTTCTCATATTCAACAGCTTGCGAATTTATGGTTTGTTATTAACTACGGGAAATTGCTTATTTTTAATGCCTGGCATCGGCTCAACATGACCGATTCTGTATTCGTGAAACAGCATTGTTTATGTACTGCGTTATATATCTCACAGGTGGCGATGAATTCTTGGCATAAATATTTTCGATTATGTGTAGGGTCCATGGAGCTGTCACAGTTTGTTCAAAGCAGAAGAAATGCGATGTGATAATGCATGGAGAAATAAGTAGCCATTTAGTAAATGTCTTGTGCCTATGTATTGAACACTTTTCCTATGTTGCATAATAAGCAATGACAGTAAAGTGGAGTAGTGTCACGAAGGGTGTAAATTCTACGGCTGTCAATAGAGTCGAATACAACGAATGGGTTACGTGACTAAAAGTGGAAGTCTTTGGAAATATTTTAAGGCTAATGACTCAACAAATTCAGTCAATTAACATAAGTCATGCGAGTAACCGTTAAGTTTACTTTTGCCATTCGTAACGTTGCTAGAAATCACTTGTTAATAATGTGACCTTATAACAGATCAGACTGATATGAACATGTTTTATTTGCAGCTTAAGTATGTTTAAGCTCATCGCTTTTCTTAAGATCAGATCGTCACGTATTATATTCGGTACGTCTACATTTCAAACTTCTAATGGCCTAGATGCTTTTGCATTCTGAATTTGCTTACTTATAAGTGAACAGTGAGTTGTATTATTTATTATTATTCTCTTGGGTTTTTCCTCTGATAATCAAATGCCCTTCGCTATCTTTCATTAGTTTCATCTGCATTGATCTCTCCGATTAGAGAACTGGTTATCTGATGTAATGTTCTGGGATCTCTTTTGCCTGTGGCCTGTTCTGCTTCTGTTGCCAATATATTGTAGAAATCCCTTTTTTCTTCGCACTCCTCACTTTATTCATTGCGTTGTACATCGAGCTCATCTTCTCCTATTGTTCATCTTCTGTTTCACCCTCTCCTGTTTTAGCTTTCAGGTGTCCGTAGAGAGCCAGTCCTTGTCTCGCCTCTGTATTCTCCCTGAAATAGTTGTACACATTCCCGTCAACGTCACTTTCAGAGTTCTTCCACACAAAACTTCAACGACTTTGTTCTGAGAGGTGAATTGAAGGTGTCCTTCAACTTCTGAGTATTGAAGTTGAGTTGTGGTCTATTTCCTGTCGCTTTGATGGCTTTCAGCTTGACGTTGAGGGTTCCTTGCACTAGATAGTGGTCTGAACCTACATCTGTTCTTATCCTCGATTTTTTGTCCTACAGGTTTCATCTCCATTTGTGATTGAGATAAAATCTGAGTTTTGGTGTCACTCAGGTGAAACCCATGTCTCTTTGCGTGTACCCTTGTGCTTGCATACTGTGCTTCCAATTACTAAGTCGTTGAAGTCACAGCAGTCTACGAAGAGTCATATGTTCGCATCCACTGAGAGCCTCCCGACCCATAACAACTTCTCTTCATATGTTTTCTGCACTTAGTTTAGCTGTGTTGTCACCATTTGACCTCCGTCTTATCCATTACTGTTTGCAGTTGTCTGCAGAAATCTCCCTTCTCTTGTTCTGAGTTGTGTGTAGGAGCATAGCATTGGGTGATTGCTACTTTCCTTCCTTTTGAGTTGAATGTTGTCATGATCCTAGAAAAGACTGGTTAACACTGTATCAGAGCTTTTGCCGCTGTTGGTGACATCATGATAGCAACAACCTCAGTATGCTTGCGGCTGTCGTCTGGTTGACTGAAGTAGGTTATTGACTCACCAGTTATGGATTCGGAGAGTCCACTCCCATTCGACCTGCTTTCACAGATTCCTAACACTTTTATACCATATCTCATCTCTTGCTACCGGGGCAGCCTTTCCAATTTCGTACATTGTATGAACACTCCACGTTCCCATGCTTATTTTGTTTTCATCGGAAGAAGACACATTGTCTGCCTGGCTTTCACAAGCCTACGTCACTCTGTCTCGCCTATTCCAGAGAAGAATAAGATTTTTTTTATACTTTTGTTGTCCTTTGAAGTTTCTGTAGAGAGTGGGTTCATACACAAAAGGTTTAAGCTTAAACAAAAATAAAGGTTTCGTGCAATGGCAAAGGGTTTGTGTAATAAAGACTAGAGGTGAATATGGCAACGTGGTGAGTTCGACTAAAATCTTAGAATCTAGGGATAAACGGAATTACATTATAGCGAAGGGGAAGAGGTTAAAGCCAAAATATACGAAATCGACATAGTAAAGACATCCATTTGCTATGGCAAGGAAAAACTGAAAATTGCTTTTTTCTAAACACAAAAAGGGTTTCAGGCATTTAATTGCTTCGGCAGACTTGAGGGGAATTGAACTGTATTGTCTATAGATGGTTTTCAAAGATTTCATGGTATCCACGTGGTGACCTGTATCGATGAGACACATTGCAATAGCACTAATGTAAGCGTTTGTTCCCTTGAGATTTAGGCTTTTTGGTACTGCCACCGCAGATACATGTAAACTTGTAAACACAATTAGAGGTATACTGAGAAGGGTATCCTGTCAACCTTAGATTGCACCAAAGAGCGTGTTGTCCGATAAACGTGAATCAACTTAGCTGCCAGATAAGTTCTTGCTACCGAGGTATTCAGTCTTTTGACTACTTCTGCAATATTACCACACTTAAAATCGAGTTAAGTGAGGACTTCTTTTCCATTGTGATTTGTTAGATATTTAGATCACATTTCCCATACTTTTTAATGAATTTTTCAAGGTAACCGTTACTTCTCAACATCTTTTCAAGAATCAGAAATTCCTCTTCTAATTCCCCTGTAGAGCATGTTCTCCTGGTTTTAACCAGCACCGGCTTATAGCTCTGTGGACAAAAACTATTGAACTGTGAGTATTGCTTTCTCCATGTAGGCTGTCGGCGAATTAACCTCTGGAGACAATCACCGAGGCGCTTCATGGCGATATCAAGAAAACGAAACTTCCTATCGCTTACATATTCCACAGTGAACTCAATATTTGCATGCACTTAAGTGAATATTTCCAGTAGGTTTGCCGCATGACTTTCATTTTCGCACAGTGCAAACGTGTCATCTAAATAACAATAAGAAGTTCCATTGATTGCAGGTTTCTCTCAATATTAGACATGAAGATACCTACTAATACAGTCCTTGATGGACTGCCCATAGCTTCACCATCTATTTGGCGATAAAGAGTGATGTCAAACTGGAATCACACTTTCAGTAGTGGGCGGTTAAATTCCAATACTGGGGGAGGGAGAAGACCAGAATGTTGACAAATGATATCGACAGTTGTACTAGTTGAAATCCTTATGAATAGTGAGGTTACGTCAAATGATGCTATGAACTAATTGGAGACGTTCATATAGTTCAAGCGAAACGGAATGAGCCTTTCAGGTGCGCACATCTAGTCGTTAATGAATAGGTTCCAACTTCTCTAAAGGCGACTAGCAACTTTGTACTGAGGAATACTGATTATAGAAAGTATAAGTTTCAAGGGAATATTTTGTTTATGGCTGATCATGCATGTGAACCAAACAAGATCCTACGTGTTTTAATTCATTTTAAGCATCTTTTTCAATCTTCTCTTCACGAGCTCTCCTAATATGTTTGTAATGCGCCTTTCAATTGGATATGACTTATCCTTTTTGAAATTTCTCACTTTAAACTTCAACTGGTCGTCTAAAATAGATGTCATCTTTGTAATATGGTCTTCTTTATCCATCAACACCATCCATGAGCCTTTGTTAGGTCTTTATATCACGATTTTACCATTATTTTCGAGAGGCTTCGATGTTCTTCATAGTAGATTTTGGAATATGAGGTTTCTGAAGTGAGTTATTGACTTGCAGTATCGACCAGCTTAGATTTGAATCAACTCTTCTTTTGCCTATCCACTGGACTTAGGTTATTCCGTTTGGTGAAACAAGTTCTCAGATAAAGTTACCACATCAGTTCTTTTGTTAAATTTATTCGTAATATAAAAGTTAAATGCAAGGGACATCACTTCAGTTTTAATTCGGTTTAAAATCTAACTCAACAGATTACAGATGAACTTC